TTCTGAGTCCTCGTGACAAAGAACAGATTCGTGAAATTATACAAAGGTACATTATGCTCTCATGCAACATACAGCAAAATTTACATTTGGCCAAATATCTGTCTCTAGTCATTTACTACTTGTTTATACAGAAATACTAATGTTAACATATAACACTAGGTCCTTCCCTTAATTTATGAAGCCCAGTATTCATTAATAACCTGGAGGGAGGGTTCTCCTCACCCTGGCAGACAGACCAGCATTTCACACAGACACTAATCATGGAATGGAATGTGGTCTTATCACCAAGCCATCACTCAATCAGTTGCCAGCCCAAGCTTCAGTGGCTCCTCTCAGTTCACACAGACATTGTGAAAGTACTAATATAGGAATACATTCAAATATAAAAGTAATGTGATTAACATAATGATGTAATTCTACCACACCTCTCAGGTAGGTCCAGCCACGGAAAAGTGTAAACGGTATCCTTGGGACGTCCCAACTCTGACTTCACCCCATTGAAGTAAGAGTTAAGGTTAGGGTTAGGGTAAGGGTAGGGGTTACGGTTAGGGTTTAGGGTAGGGACGTCCTAAGGATTCCGGATAGCACTAACTGTCCAGTCACAGCCGCTCCGTCTCGATGTCGTTGGGTCCCTTTACATCCCGACTGTGAAACAACCTGAGATATACACTGGTACTGTACCTTGACGTAGTAGGTTCTCACAATGCGCTTGTCCTCCTTCTTCTTGGAGTGCCAACACTCACACAGGAACATACACCTCCTCTGTTTCCATGTCCACCACCTCTACCTGGTCCAGGTACCAGTCGGCTCCCATCCAGTCTGAGTTGTCGTGACGGATACGGATCTTAAACACCTGGCCAAGATCCACCACCTCGATGGAGAACTTATTCACCAGGGTTAGGGTTAGGATTAGGGTTAGAGGAAAGGGACCCATGTAGTAAAGTAAAATCAACCTGACTGCTCTTATTCACTATGATGGACTGAGAGGCTTTAGGGAATTCAGAAACAGACACACTTTACATGAATTAGTTAACCTCATGAAATTACACGGTTTTAGCACATACTGTACTGTCTTTGGTTTTAGTACTCCATGAAACTACACGGTAAACTACATTGTATCTTTGCAACTTCATGTAAAGTGTGAACAAATAATAACACACATAATGCCCCTCTTTCAAAGTTGTTGCTGTTGCTCTGACTTGCTGAGTTTGCATTCCCGTGTCTCCCAGGTCTCTGTAGATGGTGAGAAACACGATTTCGTCAGTCCCTCCTCCGTACATGTCACCCATTCTGACAACGCAATGAACCGACGGCACCGGCAGGATGGGGCCAGAGCCGCACAGACTCCTGGGTAGAGCAGACTGCAGGGGGGCTGGGGCAGCCTTCTCCTGCTGTTGTTCCCCACCTGAAACTGCCACTAACCTCATAAACAATTACTACCACTGGGTTGTCACCTAACCAGACGAGAAAGCCCCTGTGAAAATCGAGAACATGCCAGAAAATTCCGTCACCCTCCCACTGCTTTGGTAAACACCTGAGGGATGCGGCTGGTGAAATGTAACCACTCTCAAATTCATAGACAGAGCTATGGATGCAAGGACTGACCATCCATGATATAAACATTATAGTTTTAATGTTTTGAGACAATACAGTGTTTGTTTACAATTACTTCGTTTACAAACAATGGAGTGAAACAAGCTTATATTATGGGTTCTGATGGGGGTAAAACAGCTGAACAAGAGACATTTAGGTTATAATAAGAGTCAACAGGTAGATCATTCATTTATTATGACTCCCTGATGACATGACTCCCTGATGACTATTGACTACTATAAAAATATTATAATAATATGCCATTTAGCAGACGCTTTTATCCAAAGCGACTTACAGTCATGCGTGCATACATTTTTGTGTATGGGTGGTCCCAGGGATCGAACCCACTACCTTGGCGTTACAAGCGCCGTGCTCTACCAGCTGAGCTACAGAGGACCACATTACCTCCTAAATCGTTACATCAACTTCCATGTAGTCCTGAGACAGATCCATAAAGACAGAAGTAAACTAATGCTAGGCACAAGCATGGGAGATGAAAATTATACTGTAAATGTCTCGTCCATTTTCTGGACAGAGTTGTGGCAGTAGCCTCGACAGACCGCTAGCGGTCGCTGTTGTTCCTGTCTCTCGAGGCTAAGTTGGCAGCTGGCATGAATGCTGATTGGCTGAAATCTGTGATATATTTAAGCAATAAGGCACGAGGGGGTGTGGTATAGACATCCAGACTACGGAAGAAAGATAGCGGAAGCGGACGATGAAGTGGATTCTGAATCTAATGGCGGTAGAATCAAGGAGAATTGTAGTATTGTCCAAAAGAATGGAAAACGGAGCAAAGTAGTATACAGTGATGAGAATGTCCCTTCGTATCTAGTAGGAGTACGGTTTGTTAATGAGGAGCAGCTGAGCAGAGTACCAATCTTGAGGAATCCATTTGAGATATCCAAACTGGTGGAGAGAGTGCTGGGTAAAGTGAAGGCTGTGAAGATTACGAGAGGCGGGCTTGTTTAGATTTTTTGTGCTTCTGCGGATCAGAAGGAACATGCGTTGCATCTCACCCGATTTGATACGTTTTAAATGTCGTGTGTGTCTCTTCGGAACAGGGCACCCCTCAAGGGGGTTAAATCTGGGGTCTAGTGGGAAGTCGATTTTGAAGAGATTAAAAATATATCTGGAGTGATTGATGCATGTCGGATGAATCGTCTGGTGATTGGTGAAAAAGTGAAGAGTCTATCTGTTCTTTTTTTTTTTGATATGGAGTCTCTCCCTACTCAAGTGCAGTTGGGGTATATAAACTACAGATTCAGAGCATTTATCCCAAGACCAATGTAGTGTGATCATTGTAAAGCTTTTGGTCATGTTTCAAGTGTTTGCAGAAGGGAGAAGCCGAGATGTCCAAGTTGTGGAAAATATCATATCATGTGTTTTAAAAGTGAGGAAAATGTGACATGTTGCAATTGTGGTGGGAACCATGAAGCTACATCTTTCGATTGCCAGACAAGAGTGAAAGAGAACGAGGTGGCCAAAGTCAGGGCTGTCCAGAGCATTTCATATGCAGCAGTTGTTAAAAGGGTTGAGGGTATGAATGGTGCTCCTGAAGAGTCCATGGTGGTGGATAGGCCTTCATTGCAGGCTGCAGGGGTTGCCTTTCACCAGCAGGACCCTTATATTTTAAAGGTTAAGAAGGTGGACTTCGTGGCCTTTATAGCTATGGTGATTAATGGCACTGCCAAGGTGGAGAGAAGGTCCAGGAAGATAGATATCATTGTGGATGCGGCGGAGTGGTTCCTGGGACTGAAAGATTTCTCGGCGGAGGAGTTACATGGAATATTGTCACAAGCCGTACCACCCTCTCAGGCCCTAGAGCCTCATAAGGGAGATATGGAGATTTTAAATAAGGAAGAAGTGGGAGTTTTGTTTTGTTTCTGTCAATGTACTATTTTTATTTGGGTAGATTAAGTTAGGTTACCTATCACATATGGATTTTATTTTTACCTTATTTTGGTTTTTCAACCAAAATACACGACAATACACCTTTTTGGGTTGTAGTCCGCCATAACACCCACAGAAGAAGAAAAGGTGTGGTATATGGCCAATATACCACGTCTAAGGGCTGTTCTTATGCACAACGCGGAGTGCCTGGATACAGCCCTTAGCCGTGGTATATTGGCCATATACCACAAACCCCCGAGGTGCCTTATTGCTATTATTTATTTAGCTAGGCAAGTCAGTTAAGAACAAATTCTTATTTACAATGATGGCCTACACTGGCCAAACCCGGACAATGCTGGGGCAATTGTGCGCCGCCCTATGAGACTCCCAATCACAGCTGGTTGTGATACAGCCTGGAATCGAACCAGGGGGTCTGTAGTAATAATAATAATTTGCCATTTAGCAGACGCTTTTATCCAAAGCAATTTACAGTCATGTGTGCATACATTTTTACATATGGGTGGTCCCAGGGATCGAACCCACTACCCTGACGTTACAAGTGCCATGCTCTACCAATTGAGCTACTTGATACCTCAAGCACTGAGATGCAGTGCCTTAGACCACTGCGCCACTCGGGAGCCCACAACTGGCTACAAACGTAATTAGATCAGTAAAAATAAATGTTTTGTCATACCCGTGGTATACGGTCTCATATACCACGGCTTTCAGCCAATCAGCATTCAGGGATCAAACCACCCGGTTTATAACAGACCACATACCATGGGTATGACAAAACACTTATTGTTATATTGCTCGAATTACGTTGGTAGCCAGTTTATAATACAATACAACTTGTATTACAGTATATTCTACTTAGATTTAAGTATTAATTTAGTGACTTCAAGTGCTAGTGAAAGGAACACATATTGGCTGCTCTTGTGTCGCTACAGCATACCAGAGTGCTGCACCGGAATAAGTACGCACTGAATTTACTGCAACACATAACCCTTTTCCGGCCTCTATCGTGTCAACTTCGGCAAGAAGATGGTAAGCTCGGACGCAGTGTACCCTGAAAATCTGAAATCATCCGCTTTAATGAACGTTCACATGTATCATCTAAATTGTTGTTGTGAAGATGAAAGCAATGCATTTTCACAGACCCCAGTATTTGACGGTTTTGGTTTCATAATCGGTACAAACCCGATGAATTAACTAACGTAACAAGCACTTAACGTTAGTTACCGTGTGTCCCAAACGCTAACAAATAATGTTAAATCAGCCTCTCAAATTGGCTGCTATTATTTTTGGTCCCCATAAAGGAAACGATTTTGACAATAGCATTCATTAGCATGCCCATGTCATCCTGCAAAAAAGGGAAAGTAGCTAGTGTAGTTTTATCTGGTGGAAGCAGCTAGCATCATGTAACATTAGCCTTCTAGCATGTAGTTAAAGTATACAGCCATAGTATGTCATGTATTGTTTTGAATAACTGTCAATTCTAATTGGTGACCATAAATATGTTTTCACCTGTTTCACAGACGAAGGGAACGTCATCATTTGGTAAACGTCGCAACAAGACGCACGCCCTGTGTCGTCGGTGTGGCTCAAAGGCATACCACCTCCAGAAGTCCTCCTGCGGAAAGTGTGGTTACCCCGAAAAGCGCAAGAGAAAGTGTGAGTGCTGTTGACTTGGTAGATAGTTTTGTTGTTTTTGATCAGTCAGTGCAGTCCATTCATGTTACCAATAGGGACCATCATCAGTGACACTAGCTAGATGGGTGAATGCTGCAGGTAATCCTACCAGGGATCTTACCAGAGCACAACCTGTCAGAAGTTTCCAGTGATGCATATGTCCAACAAGCTGAAATATTCCGGATGTCCTTGCACGCAGAAGTTACTTTTTGCACTTCCAGACTTTTGTTTTGGTGGGGTTTGGTGAAGCTGACCTTGTTGTCACACTGATGTATGTGTCTGTATAGCAGTTTTGCTCTTAATCGATTCTAGCAAACATGCTCATCCTTTCGCTCTTGCAGATAATTGGAGTGCCAAGGCCAAGAGACGCAACACCACCGGGTCTGGTCGTATCAGACACCTGAGGGTTGTATACCGCAGATTCAGGTGAGTCCAACATCCTCCCTGCATTGAATTTCAGGGCTGGTTTGCATAATACATCATGTGCAAACAGAAGAAAAATGTTTCCTATGGAATACAAAGATGAGCTGTTCTTTAGGCAGGATTATGTATCTCCATTTCTCGCTTCTTTTTGTGTGTGTTGAATGTGAAATTGGTATTGTTTTTAACTGCAGATAAGCACTTGATTTGCCCCCCATTTCTGACCTGCGGAATCAGTTGAGACAAATGTTTTCTGTCCTTAATTGGCCCTATGTAATGTAACAGATGTGATATCCCTTGCTAGTTTTGCTAAAGTGGATTAGGTTGTTCTGCACAGATGCATTTCAGTGCTTGGTTGAACCCTCTCAGTTTTGTTGACGTTGAGATAATAGGCATGATTGTTCATATGATACACAATTGGAGTTGGTGACTTTTAGGTAAACTACTCATCAAATGTGTTTTTCTGCATTATGAATGATGTGTCACTGCAGTGAGTGACTTAAGTGCTTGCTGACAAAACATTTGACTTTTTGATATCGTGAATGCTAAATTGGAAGGCTTATTTCGCTTACCTGGCATGAGTAGATATTGTTGCTATGTATGTTGCTGGTGAAAGACCAGTCTCATATCACATACTCAGACCTAAGACTTGATGTTAGATTCATTTCAAATTTTGTCACGTGCACAAGTACAGTAAAATGCCTTCGTTGCAAGCTCTTTCCCAACAATGCACTAATCAATATCAGTAGTAAAAATATTATACTATAAAGCAAATAGAACAAAAACACACAAGAAATAGAAATAAGAACACGAGAATGTAAGTAAGCTATATACAGGGTCAGTGCCAATACCAGATGTACAATGTGCAGGGATACTGAATTGGTGAGTAGCTATCACATTGCTTGTATAATCCTCCTATGAGTAGTTTTAACCCATACAGAAGTTGAACGTTCCAGGTTATTTCCGATTTGGATATTATAGTCCCATGTAGCTCAGTTGGTAGATCATGGCGTTTGCAACGCCAGGGTTGTGGGTTCGATTCCCACGGGGGACCAGTATGGGACAAAAGTATGAAAATGTATGCACTCACTACTGTAAGTCGCTCTGGATAAGAGCGTCTGCTAAATGGCTAAAATGTAAAATATTGGTCTGGAGTTGGACACTGCTTTATAACACATCCAGAAGATTGTAAAGGTGCAGGGTAGGCTTGTATCATATGGAAAGGAAAATAGCAATATTCTGCGGCGTCTTCCTAGCAGGTGGTACGTGTTCGTAGATGGATGGGGTTACCTACCTGTAAAACCTTTGAGACCCAGTAAGGGCCACTATATAAATGTACACTGAACAAAAATATAAACGCAACAATTTAAAAGATTTTACTGAGTTACAGTTCATATAAGGAAATCAGTCAATTGAAATAAATTCATTAGGCCCTAATCTATGGAGTTCACATGACTGGGAATACAGATGCGCATCTGTTGGTCACAGATGCCTTAAAAAAAGGTAGGGGCGTGGATCTGAAAACCAGTCAGTATCTGGTGTGACCACCGTTTGCCTCATGCAGTGCGGCACATCTGCTTCACATAGAGTTGATCAGGCTGTTGATTGTGGCCTGTGGAATGTTGTCCCACTCCTCTTCAATGGCTGTGCGAAGTGCCTGGATATTAGCGGGAACTGGAACATGCGGTCGTTCAGCATCAATCCAGAGCATCCCAAACATGCTCAATGGGTGACTTGTCTGGTGAGTATGTAGGCCATGGAAGAACTGGGACATTTTCAGCTTCCAGGAATTGTGTACAGATTCTTGTGACATGGGGCCGTGCATTATCATGCTGAAACATGAGGTGATGGCGGCGGATGAATGGCATGACAATGGGCCTCAGGATCTCATCACAGTATCTCTGTGCATTCAAATTGCCATCGAAAAAATGCAATTGTGTTAGTTGTCCGTAGCTTATGCCTGCCCATAACATAACCCCACGGCCACCATGGGGCACTCTGTTCACAACGTTGACATCAGCAAACCGCTCGCCCACACGACACCATACACGCTGTCTGCCATCTGCCCGGTACAGTTGAAACCGGGATTCATCTGTGAAGCGCACACTTCTCCAGCGTGCCAGTGGCCATCGACGGTGAGGATGACGAGCATGCAGATGAGCTAACCTGAGACGTTTTTTGACAGTTTGTGCAGAAATTCTTCGGTTATGTAAACAGTTTCATCTGCTGTCCGGGTGGCTGGTCTCAAGACAATCCCGCAGGTGAAGAAGCGGGATGTGGAGGTCCTGGGCTGGCGTGGTTGTGAGGCTGGTAGGACATACTGCCAAATACTCTAAAACAACGTTGGATGCGGCTTATGGTAGAGAAAAACATTACGTTCTCTGGCAACAGCTCTGGACATTCCTTCAGTCAGCATGCCAATTGCACGCTTCCTCAACTTGAGACATCTGTGTCATTGTGTTGTAACAAAACTGCACATTTTAGTGTGGCCTTTTCTTGTCCCCAGCACAAGGTGCACCTGTGTAATGATCATGCTGTTTAATCAAATCAAATTTCATTTGTCACATACACGTGTTTAGCAGATGTTATTGCGGGTGTAGCGAAATGCTTGTTCTTCTAGCTCCGACAGTGCAGTAATATCTAACAAGTAATATCTAACAATTTCACAACATATACCCAATACACACAAATCTAGTAAGGAATGGAATTTAAGAATATATACATATATGGACAAGCAATGACAGAGCGGCATGGACTAAGATACAGTAGAATATTATAGAATACAATGCAGTATATACATATGAGATGAGTAGTGCAAGATATGTAAACATTATTCAAGTGACTAGTGTTCCATTTCTTAAAGTGGCCAGTGATTTCAATAGGCAGCAGCAGCCTCTAATGTGCTAGTGATGGCTATTTAACAGTCTGATGGCCTTGAGATAGAAGCTGGTTTTAATTATCTCGGTCCCAGCTTTGATGCACCTGTACTGACCTCGCCTTCTGGATGATAGCGGGTGAACAGGCAGTGGCTTGGGTGGTTGTTGTCCTTGATGATCTTTTTGGCCTTCCTGTGACATCGGGTGCTGTAGGTGTCTTGGAGGGCTGGTAGTTTGCCCCCGGTAATGCGTTCGGAACACCGCACCACCCTCTGGAGAGCCCTGCGGTTGTGGGCGGTGCAGTTGCCGTACCAGGCGGTGATACAGCCCGACAGGATGCTCTCAATTGTGCATCTGTAAAAATATCAACTTCTTGATATGCCGCACCTGTCAGGTGGATGGATTATCTTGGCAAAGGAGAAATGCTCACTAACAGGAATGTAAATACATTTGTGCACAAAATGAGCTAAATAAGCTTTTTTGTGCATATGGAAATGTTCTGGGATCTTTTATTTCAGCTAATGAAACATGGGACCAACACTACATGTTGCGTTTTATATATTTTTGTTCAGTATAGTTTACAATTCATTGTCATCCTTCCTCAATGTGTTTTCTCTGGTCTTTTCCAGGAATGGATTCCGTGAGGGAACTGTCCCCAAGCCCAAGAGAGCAGCAGTGGCTGCCTCCACCTCTTCCTAGGCTCTGAGTCTGAAATAAAGTCACCATAAAATTACAACTTCATGGCCTCTCGTCCTCTTCTTTGGTCAGTTATAAGTTATACAATGAAGATAAGCAACATTGAAATGTTATCTCTGACAATAACCCTAGCAGCAACCAGTAAGTCATAGGACATTCCGTTGTATCACTAGAACTTGTTTGATGGAAGGGTTTTCCTGCAACCAGCAGAGGGACTCATTTCTCCATGATTCATATATATATATAAGTTTTGATCTTCTAGAAACAATTTGAAATAATCCACTGTTATACTTCAAAGGCAGATTTTTTTTAAAAATATTTTTTAAAAGTCAAAGTATTGTGATGTGACAAAGGAGACATGAAGAATGGGGAAAACATGTTTGAATAGATATTTAGCAGTTCTATAAAGAAATATATTTCCCACAACTACTAGATGAGATGTGAAAATGACATGGGTCTCAGTGACTCCATGGAGAGAGACTATAACTGCAATAGTAACATTTACATTTTAGTCATTTAGCAGACGCTCTTATCCAGAGCGACTTAAAGGAGCAATTAGGGTTAAGTGCCTTGCTCAAGGGCACATCGACAGATTTTTCACCTAGTCGGCTCGATTCAATGCATTAACTACAAATCACTGATATGTTTTACAGTAAATTCAAAGGGTTTCACTACAGCTGCTATCCAGACAGTGATCCTTGTGGTTAACTAAACATTATGCTGTGCCTGTTTTCAATAGGCCCAAACCCATACATCCTCTATAGCAAGGATGGGCAGCTCCAGTCCTCTGGGGCTTGATTGGTGTCACACTTTTGCCCGAGCCCCAGCTAACACACTTGACTCCAATATTCAACTAATCATGATCTTCAGTTTAGAATGCAATTAGTTTAATCAGCGGTGTTTACTAAGGATGGGGGGAAAGTGTGACACCTCTCTGGCCCCTGAGGACTACAGTTGCTCATCCTTGCGCTATAGCTCCCAGGTGACATTGTCAGTTTGCCAGACCAGATGTACATAAGGTTTTCCAGCATGGCCACTTGGAGAGTGTCTCAAAGCCACAATGTTTATTGCCTCTTCCTTTCACTGAACATTATCAGTAGAAGAAGTTAAGAAGTCCTTGTAACAGGACATTTATTTGGCTTTCATTTATAATAGATGAAGCCAACCTTCTCATATCTACATGTCAACAGTGTTTTAGTGTAAAGGTATGTGGTAGTGGAGTTATATTACATTTGAACATGTCCATGAGACTGTTTTTGAGACGCTTGATAGAAATGTTAGAATTGGAATATGGGCCCGATATTAGTAGCTGACACCATATAAGGTGGGAGTGGTGTTTTACCTTACAGTGAAAGTTCTCTCTCCGTCTTATCCAGTTTCCCTTTAGCCCATGGCATAGTAGATCTCCAACTTAATTGGATTTCCATGGTTG